TCACTATTCATAATTTCTAATGCCACGAGTAATGCCACGAGTAAATCTTCATGCCTTCTCTTTTGAATGTTCTATAATATAAGTGTGATAGCTTCAATGAAAAAGTAAAAGAACGTTCTTATCGCCTAAATTTCGAGGTTTAGAAAGTATATTTAGCACATTCTACACATTAAATATCGTATCTATGTAAGTGAAACTAAAGCAGTGAAACGACTTTGAATTTTTAACTTTTGTATATTTCCTGTTTATCCCCAAAATGGACTCTCCTGATTAGTTACACTTTAATGAAAGGGTTGGAATGTTTCGACAAAACATGCCTTGCACTATGAAAGTCAATTTATGGTTGAAGGCTTAAAAAGACATTGGATAAAAACTTTAGTTTAACACAAAATTGCAACGTAACTACTTCGTGAAAATCAACGTATTCATGTACATTTCATTTATCCTTATATTACTTTTGTTCAAGCAAACGCTCAGATGCCTCTTTAATCTCCTACTCGCGAAATGTCGGAGTTGACAGAGACAGCCGCAATCTTGGAATATTGGATATGTAACATGCGAGGTTTAATTTGATACTAGATTCCCACGATCTGTGGCTGTGTTGGCTATATGCATGTATATACCCTTTTTTGATCATATATCTTTTGAAGGAACTAACTTGTAACTCCTTGTTAAACCCCACCTCTACCCCAATCCAAAATAGATTTTCAAATTTTAGAAAGAAAATTCTTTGTACTCTTCGGAAATGCTGCAAATCCATTCAATTTCAAGGCACCGGTAGATTTTAAAACGTTTGTTTGTTTTTTTATTTGGACTAGGGGTACAGTACCTTTACAAAGAAAAAAGGGACTTAAAACAAAGTTATTATTACCACAACATTAAATCCTTCCAAACGTGTGTGTGAATCTTTCCTTGAGAGTGGTGGGGGGGGGGGGGTAGAGGGGTACAACCCTGGACCCCCTTTCAAAAATGTCTGAATCCGCCCCTGTTTACTATCATATTAGTTTGATGCATGACTTGCACATGCAGTTCTGTTGTGAATGGTGTAAAATGTAGAATATGTAAGAAATTCAATGTTAGTTAATATTTTGATATATATGGTGAAAAAGAAAGCAAACCACCTTTTGTGCACAATAAATATCCACTATTTTTTTTTCAATGTTTAGCACTGTAGGTCTTTGGCCTGGCATTCCCCTATTACTGTTTTAGACCAGAGAACTTCTTATAAATAGGGGTGAAACTGAGAAAGACAGAGAGGAAGAAAGAGAGGGGGTGATCTCTTAACATATTGATATTTGTTTTATTTATTAATGCGAGAATTTGAGAAACCAAAGCATTTTTGTTTCCAGTGATGTAGGTCTTAAAATGTTATCTTCTGTACCATGATGTAGAATGGAAGGTATTCGCAGGAAAAATATTCCCGGTAATTACACAAATAAATCACAGATAGTATATATCAAAATATTTATTCGTATGTATTACATGTTTCCTCAGAAAATTTCCACCTTCTCGTCCTGATAAAGAATTTTATTTACTTTATAACCATTGTAGGCAAATATTTGATTGCTGTTCAAATCATAGAATGAATATAAAATTTCATAAGCATGCAGATTTCTTTTTTTTCTTGAGCATTTGGTATGTGTGCTTTTTATTCTATTTATAGTATTTTAGCTTAAAAAACATTTTGTTACCCTAGCGTGTGTTTCCGTCTGAAGTATGAAAAATTATTTGGGTTGTGTCGAAAAAGACCACCAGTTTACATATATTTATTGTAGATTGTATGACATTTAAATACGCAGGATAAAATAATAACAGGTCCCCAGAAAACACCAAAGTGTGAGTAGATCCTATTTATAGAAAACTGGACGGTCCGGGTTGAAAGATCAGTTTTGCTTACCGGTACAGGGTGTATGCACTTATGGAGTATGCGAAAGGCAAATCTTTGGATAAATATTGCTTAACTTTAATAAATTTAGTTTGACTTTTCGTTCAACTGATCAAGCTTGTACTGTCGGCATCTGGTAAGCAATGTGAAAAACTTTTGCATAGATTTAAGCGGAAATTTTTTACTTTAATATGACTAACTAACATTTTACTTTTTTAATTTTTTTATTTACGTACTTATTTTGTGAAAAATATTTTTATGCAATTATTTCCTCTCATCATATAGTATTTATTTTCTAAAATTTAGCGGCAGACAGTACAAGTTTGACTTATATCGGGGTGGGGGTTAGTGTATACTCCAGGCCTTCTCTAAGCGTGTGCAATAACCCGTGACCGCGATTGATCACATATATTTGGAATTGTAACTATCGCAGAGAAGAGAAATATGGCGAACACTGCTTTGCTCGTTGCGTATAATATGTTTAAGACTTTGCACGATAGCTTTAAGATTGATTGATTGTATGTAGTTCTCTCGAGAATTCTTCACTCACATGGAGACGCCACCACTTGCCGGTGGAGGGCTACAAATTTTGTCCTATGCTCGGCACTCAGGGCCTTTGAGCATTGAGGGATCTTTTTCGTGCCAACACCTACTGCGACACGGGGCCTCGGTTTATACGGTCTCATCCGAAGGACCAGTCTCCACGTCCCGCAGTGGGATTCGAACCCGCGACGTAAGGATTGACTCCTTACCTTGCGACTCTAGAGCAGACGCTCTATCCACGGTGCCACGCGGGCGACAGATAGCTTTAAGAAAATATAGGCATATGAACGCATATTAATTTACTCAATTCTCTACCCTAAATTTGTCAGTAATTTTTCAGAAGTCTGTCACAATGTTTTCCAACTTTAACATGATGAAGAACATGCGCAAATGATTATAAAAAGTGATTAAAATATGTACCTTTCGCCTCTCACTAATGAGAGATATGTTATTTACTGATACTTATATTCTTGACCTTTTTGCACTTACACGCGATTTAATTATTAAATGATTGTTTGGGGTTACATTTAGATTAAAAATGTTCATTTGAAATAAATATTGTACTTTTTATTTAAACAGATCATATTTAATTTTAAAATATTTTAATCAAAGACCAAAACTACGAGTAAGTAACAAATAATTATAAAGAGGAATGTTCGTCATTTCTTGATAGATATCACAAAATTGTACACACGGTCACACCATCTATAGGACGTGCATCTTTAACTTGGACACATTTCTTCAAGATATTACACTATTTAGTTGGCAACTCAAGATTTCTTAGGATTTTTGCATTCCTTCAAGATAGTTACATACCATTTATATTTTTACAGTAAGTTTTATACAATGTACATTGTAATTTCATAACACAAGATAATCTTGGATTTGTCATCTTCATTAAGGCCAAGATCTAGTATATGAAAGGTGCCTACAGCAATTTAACCAAAAAATATATATATTAAATTAAGATTATTTTGGCATGATTTCAAATTGAATTTTGTGAATTTCAAAATGCAGTATTTTATACCATTTCTATTGAAGCTGTAAGTACGGGAAAAAGTGACATTGAATTAATGATGACGTCAAAATAGATCTAGCATAGGCTAAATACATCCACTAGTTATGATGTCATACGACGTAGGTTCTACGTTAATAAACGCCTGTCAGGGTTTTGTTAGAAAGTGGGGAATTTTGAATTGAAATTAAGGTCAAGATCTAGTAAATAACTTATTAGACTTATTTTTGGTGCTAGATCCATTATGATTTCATAATCAATTTCAACTTTCTTTTTCCCGTTCTTTACGGTTTTAGCAGATTTATGTTGAAAATAGGGTATTTTCATGACAATCGATTTGAAATCATTTGAAAAGTAAACGGGATACCTATATTAAATTTGATATTGATTTAAAGAAGAGGCCATGAACATAAAAATTATCGTTTTCTGAGAGACTGTAGGCAATCTGGATACATTTTCTTTGTTGTATATGAAAAAAACTCCCACATTCATGACTGGTTTTCTTAATTCTTTTATTGAGAATGATAGTTTAAAATACAGATTTTTTCATCTTGTTTACCTAAAAATTATGCCCCGAAACACCTTATTTGACCAAGCTAAAGTTTTATATCATCAATAAAGGAATCTATTTCTCAAGTTTGAAAAATCTATAGGCACCTTTCATTTACTTGATCTTGACCTTAAACGAATGTTTTCATCACCGATCCTGAAAGACGACGAGATGAATATTGTTTTCGAAGGTCGATTATATATCGTATTGACCTCAAAAACAGCGATAATTGATCTTGTACATGCTTATATGATACAAGTCATGAGTCCTAGCCAGTAACAAATAAAAAGGAGTAGAGTTGCCTCGTAAATAATCCTTATCAGTCGCAATAATTTAAAATGTTTTAAATCTATTTAAGATGCATTAAGGAACGTATATACGTCACTCTTTTAATAAGAAATATTTTGAAAAGAAGATTTTGGAAAACTGATAGCTGAAAAAATAAAAGATGCACGCCCACCTCAAATTATATATATCCTAAATGCAATGATATGCAATGTTTACATGAGTAAATGTCGGTAGCTGCTGGATGAAATAGCTTTCCAAACTATTTTTTTTCAATTTGGAAATAACATGTATTATTTGATCAATGTAAAGGGAAAAAAGACACTCATATTCACCTGGAACGTCGAGTTCTGTTGATTATAGCGCAGTGCTTTTTATACATTGTTGGATCTCAACCAATCAGAAAGATGAATATTATTCAATATGATATAATGACAATATTTATTAACTTTGTCGGAATACGTTTTCAACAACTGAACTTGTGAAACTAACATGTAAGACACTTTCCAATTGAACAGAATATGCATTTACAATTCACGAAGACTGCGAATATATTTCATAAATTTTTCTACATACTTATAATAAATTAAAAGGCAATTGAGCGTTATATGTAACACTTTTCGTACAATGCAATCATTCTTACAATGTAATCAACATCAATTTTTACAATGCAATTTACATGATTTATACAAGTATTACACCGTTATCTTTTCGTGTTGCAGAAATCATGCAAGGACCTGATCTGTTTTCCAGGCAAGACCCTCTGGAATGGTACGTGTGTTTCTGTTCTGGCAGCATCGACCAATCTGCGTTATACTTTGGCTACTAAAGTCAAATTTACCCTTCTAACAGGCAATACTGGAACTGTCCAAGGAACATTATTCAAGTTCAAAGCCTTACTATGGGAGAAAATACATCAATTGACCCAGAGAACAGAGACACATTATACTGCAATTGAAAATTTTATCTTAATGGTCTCCACGGGCTGTCGAACTTTGAATGTAAGGCAGGGCGAAATTTATTCGTATGTTAAATTTGTAATAACGAAACAAATTAACAGAGATGAGTTGGAGGAAAGGCTTGTTCTTTTCATGGAAACTGCTTCAAATTGGACCCTTTCGAACACAACCATTGCAGAAGTTGCAATGTCTGTTAGTGAAAGAGCATTTATGTTGCCCTACCTCTCGATGCGATTTAACAGAAAACGACAATGTTTCATCTTTCAAGACAGACTGGATTGCCAGTCTAGCGCATACAGAAATAATCTAATAAGTCCTTTGCTTACTTGCCCACAAATTCAAATCAAAGAAAATGATTTTGGATCAGCATTAGTCGACATTCAAACTGATTACACCTTTTCTGGTTTTTCCATTTATCAGTCCAGGGCGGCAAACATTGGATTCCGGATATGTGCCAGAGACTTGTCTGAAATTAAATTGAAGGGCTTGAAAGAGAGCCGATTTTTGTCTACATTAACTCTGATTTGTATTTGTGTCTCTCTTGTAGCCCTTTTGCTTACTTTCTTAACGTACTGTCTATTCCCAAGTATCCGAACTCTTCCTGGAATTAATAACATGATTTTGGTTCTGTTTTTATTTTTGGCACAGACGTGTTTGATTGTTCGTCCTTTGTCCTACACATCTGGTCTAGAAGTTGTATCAGCTTTGTCACATTTTTCATGGCTGTTGGTATTTTTCTGGCTTCAAATTTGCTCTTTTCATATGTTTCGTGTCTTCACTGCCAAGCAAAGATGGGATAATTCTCCAACATCTATCAAGAAAACTGTTACAAAGTATTTCTTGTATGCTTTTGGTAGCGCAACGATTATTGTTACCTCAAACATTGTTACTTCCCTTATATTATCTAATGGTCAAAACACAGGTTATGACAAGGCATTAACGTTGATGACACATAGAACGGCCTTCATCATCACTCTACTTGTTCCCTTAATTTTCGTCTGCTTAACGAACATATTTTTCTATATATTGACGGCGTACAAGATCTGTTCCTCTCCAGATATTGAAAGTACAACCGGAAATAGAGTACAATTTTCTGTTTATATCAAGCTGTTTACCTTGACGGGTCTTTCCTGGATGCTTCAAATCATTGACGCTTTCATAGATGTTTCAGTGTTTTCGTATGTTGTTGCAATTTTGAACGGTTTACAAGGATTGTTAATCTTTCTTAGTTGTGTCTGTAATGACAGAGTGTGGAATTTGTACAAGATAGCGTTGGGTCAAAATAGATATTTCCACCCACGTCAATCCACAACACATTCCCAATCCCACTCATCTTCAAAATGAACATACCTCTATACACGTTTAAATCAAGAATCAACTTAAAGTTACGAGGGCTGTTCAATAAATAATGTCCTGAACTGTATTACATGCAATACTGATATCATATGACATTAAGATTGGCTTTCTCTCATAATTGAATCTTTAATATATTTATAACAGTTCATGTGACCACTTTTCATCACATAGTTTCATTGTGAGAAGCTGGGAAACAAGGCCTTTCGAGACACTGCATTATAAATGAATGGTAAAGAATCGGTGAAGTAGAGTAAAAATAAAAGCTGAAACAAAGCTGGTGTAAAACTTGTTAAGAATCCCAAAGAAATATTCAATGAAATATGTGACATTTTCAGGAACCAATACCTATTTTATAGACAAATGAGCAGTTGGATTTCAGTGATAAAAAATTATACAATGGGCATCAAAAATGGGTACCGTCCTTGCCAACAAAAAATTATAACACTTATGTACTGTTTGCCAAATTTCAAAAAAAAATACTTGATGATTTAGGATTGACTTTAAGACAAATAGCAAATTTGATAGACATCACATCGGGGGTAGTTTACACTGTTTTTAAGAAACGTTTGACGGTAAAGAAAGTTTAGTACTCAAAGGTCACCCTATGTGTTGAAAAATGAGTGAAAACGACAGCGTGTATAAATTTCTTAACAATTATTTTAAAATATCAGTAATTGGAGTTATCCACGTTTTTCGGATATTCAAACAGATAATGGAACTTGAATGTATTGCTTAAAACCCTCAAAACAAAACTTACCATAAGATGTACTTGATAAAACAGGAAAGGTCTGGCGAGAGCAAAGAATTGCAAGAGCACAAAGACAGACTTTTATGCAATGTTCTTAAATATTAGTGGTATTGTTATTCAAATTCGTATTCGGAGAGACAGTTTAATTTCTGGATGAGGCTACAAAACATTTTTTTGCAAAAAAATTGAAAGGTTTATTAGAGGAAGGACCTAGAATCAGGAATCCACTACATTAAATTTCTTTATGACAGCGTCCAAATCTGCACAGTGAACAGTAGAGAGGTTTTCGGGATACACAGATAGTTAGAATTTTTTCACATTAACAATATTCGCAAGATCTTTGACCTTTTGACTTATTCCTATTTCCAAATTTGAAAAAAAACCTTTGATAAGGAAGAAACAAGTCCAAGAAATCACTGGATCTGCCAATTTCCAGTATACCAAGGGTCATACCCAAAAATACTCAGAAATTAGATAAAAAAAAAAAGGATATAGACATGTGTTGTAATTATAAGAGATTAAAAAGTAAAATAATGAAGACAAAATCATTGAAAAGCGTCTTTTGTTTCTTTCCGAGCACCAAGGACATTATTTACTTATCAGCCCTCGTAAGTAATCCATTTACAATACAAAAGATAGAATCGAGTTTTATGACTTCAACAATTATGATTTAAAGAAAACAATCATCTTATCCTGGATTTTGAATTGAAATTGTACTCGATTTAAATGGCAAAAGATAAAACCAGTCAAAATGTTTTGTGTTCAAGAATTAATATTTTTAAACAATTATTTAATCCCGAATTTTGATGAAAAAATCAATTTCCTGTTTTAATGAAATAGAAAATATGTTAAATTTCATATTGTCTGGTTATTATTTGTTTAAATATTACCACCTATAATGAAGTTGATTAAAAGTATTGAATCATAATTTACAATATTTATGCATAGTTATGAAATATCGCTAACAATATATATAGTTCTATAGTTAACGAAAAAAATCAGCATCATTATTAATGATTTAAAATTTTAATTTAGATTGTCACGCGCTTATCCAATAGTAGTCCTAACTTAAATCAGGTGGCACAAGACAGCGTATTTTAACTGATTTACATGTAGAACTGTAACCAAGTTTACAAAATTGTTTTGAAATATTATTTTTAAAAATTATATAAAAAACATCCCCCCTTTGTCGCCTGTCATACATGTAGTACATGTCTAAAACAATTTTAGTCTATCTATATTTGTAATGTGTTTATGTTTTCATTGTTGGTATTTATATTATTTAAGCTGATGGCATCTTACACATAGGCAACGGAAGCAAATTAAAAGTGGGGAGGGGGCTTATTGAAAACGGGGGGACTAAACCAACAAAACAACGGTGAATTCCAATTTTCAATGCCTATATTATATATGTATTTGAACAAAAGGGGGGGGGGGGGCTAACCCCCCAATTCCGACCCACCCCACCCCGGTTCCGACGCCTGTGTTACATATGTACATATATATATATTTCCAATGTCTTTGTTTGAGATAAAATAACCATAGTTAATGTACTTTATTTCTCCATCAATGTACTGGTTTATCGAAAGGGTTCATCACGTCCGGGCGGGACAATTACTGAGTAGGGACAAAAGCAGCCTTCTAGCCTTCAATACCATGTAAATATAGCGAATAACTGTCGGATTTTTCAATTTTATGACGATAATCAATCGATTGGCTTGCGTGATAATTTAACCAATCGATTGATTACGTCATGAAATCGAAAAATTAGACAATTATTATTTAAGTACCTGCCATGTAGCAGCTTATTCTTTTGACAAATTTGTGGTTTATTTGCTTTTTATTTGTCAAAATTTTGCTAAACTGATAATTGTTTTTTAACAAGGAAGATACCATTGTCAAATTTGTTATTCTTTGTACTACGGAGATATCCCTTTGATCTCCCTTTCTTCTATATCTCTAATGTAAACTTGTTGTCTTTTAATATATGATAGTTCTCACTTAATAAACATTGTCTTTGTTGTGTTTTAACTACAGAAGTAGACTAGTCACATCAATTGGACCAAATAGAATACTTTGTGTATGAAACATATTGAGAAAACGAACAGAATTCTAGATCAAAAGTTCATATAACAATACAAAATAGGAGCAGAGCAATCACGGACCTCCAAAACATCGGAGGTCGGATCAGGTGCAATTGAGGAGTAAGCATCTATTTCATAAAAAAAACACTACTCGGCCATTTGATTTTGAGAGGAGTCCGGGAGTTGATCATAGGACAGACAGACATTTTTTTTTATTTTTAATATTTTCGATGACAGGATATTTATTTGCATACATTGAATCATTGCCCTCATAGTAAAAAAAAAGTCCCGCAGAAAATATATTAGACCTTAACCTGGATAAAATGCAGGGATAGATAGATAGATTGATTGATTGATTGATTGTAACTGTTTTACGTCCCATTCGAGACTTTTAGAGACGTCACAAAAAACATGTACTGGTGAAAGGCTTCAAATTTTGAGCTTTACTCGGCATCCAGGATCATTGAGCAGTGATGGATTTTTATCATGCCAACGCCTGTCGTGACACGGGACGTTGGTTTTTAAGGTTTCATCCGAAAGACCCACAACTTTCACTTCAGGACAGCACATATCTCTGAGTAAGAAATTTTGTACTTAAAACTTGTACGTATTCAAACCAAAAATCTCTAACTGATAAATTGTCCTGCGTTACAATTGTTTTTTTTTAACTCCATTGCATTTGGACTTTAAATGTTGAAACTCGGGTAACTTTACTAATCAGCTGCTAATTATGTCACCAAGGTCAATCTTAATTTTCGTTATATATAACTTATTTTTCAAAGTTATATTTGCATTTGAAAATGCCACGGAAAGTTATTGCGATACATATTGTTTGTGTTTTAAGTAACATTCACCAATGAAGGTTTTAGAGATAGGAAAGAAAGATATTGAGACAACGAACAGTATTCAATCTCAAAGTCTATAAAATATACAAGATAGGAGCAGAGCAAACACGGACCTCCGAAACATCAGAGGTGGGATCAGGTGCCATGGAGGAGTGAACATCCCCTGCTGAACGGTCACACCCGGCGTGTGCTCCTTGTTATGATCGGGAAAACCTGTCGTCAATTCAGTGTATAAATAATGGACTAACAATTATTATGAAAAACGTCAGTCACCATTTGACACAATGATAAATTGTATTTGCTGACAAAGTCATTGTATCGACCATAGAACTTACGAAATGATGACTTTAAACGAGACTGTTGATTTTCTTGTTTCATCAAATTGCTTGTGAATAATTTACCTCAACCCAAACTCAATATTCAATTTGGATTTACAAAACACGGATGGGCAGATTATATAATTTCACACATTTTGTAGAGATATCAGTATTTCATCAGTTGTAATCATAATTGATTATTCTTAAGTGGATATCAAACGATTCATGACTTACACATTATCAAAAAAAGGTCATTTATTAAAAAATATCCGATTTAAGACTGAAATCGAAAAAAAATCCAAAACCTTTAAACACAAAAAATATACAGTTCATGATCTTGATTGAAAAAAAATAATCTTATTTTTATCACTTATTTCCTGAATCTTTATCTACTTTTATTATGAGCCCTCTTCATAAAATATATATTAACTTCAGTTTCTTAGAATTTCTATTTGTTGTCTAGGGATAATGTAATTTGATCATTTGTTTCTCAATGTGACTTCTTTTCTTTTCTTTTTTCCCCGGATTTTGACGCAAGATTGTTATAAATTTAAAGTGTATACTTTATTATTTCACCGGAATGAGAAATGAGAGAAATCGTTTTGAGTCTCGGTGCATATCAATAATATTTTTACTTGCATCTGAGAAGAACTTACGTTAAGAAAAATAAAACGCGGAAAAAGTTCATTTCTTTAAATTAAAATATATATATATACATGTACATATAAAGGAAGTAAATCCACGATGGGGCAAATACGGCCCTTCAATTTCGTGAATAATGAACTTGCATACTTCACTTAGAGTAGGACTTTGTTTTTATAGGGGAATGTCAAGGTTTAATTATGCATATGAGTTTGGTCTATTCATGACGTCATAACAACGTAGTACAGGTCGATTCATGTGCAAAATGATGAAATTGGCTTATTTTTACTAATTTTGTCACCTTTTCTTACATTTTTTAGTGTGGCCACACCCAACAAACAAAACAATTTTG